TCAGATACGGATTCTCTCTATTTTTGTAAATTAGTCGGCAATCTGTTAATTATTAATTCTGATTAACATTGTGCAACATACCGACATTCATATCTTGTGAATTTTCTAGAGGATTGGAATGGATTTGTTGATCACTAATATTAGAATCATTGCGGCCTTTTGGCAGCATTTTTTGTGTTAGATGGTTCATTTCAATGGATAGTTTCTACCAGGTGGATAGTTGGACAAAACAGCACAATTGTAGTAGGAATGTAAGATAAGGAAAACCGTGATGTGTCCCTTTTTTTTTCTTCCTTCCTTCCAAGTGAAACCCTAAAATCAAACAATTCATAAGAAGTTGTTAAAAATTAAACATAAACTTAACCCACACTAAAATTAAAATGAATGATGAACTATAAATCAAAACAACACAATTTTCGGTGTTGCAAAATTTTAAAGTTTTATTCGTTTGCAGGTTGTACATTGAAATCCAAGTATTTATTAATATGTGTTCTTAATAGTAGAGTATAGGTGATGTATATTTTTGGATTTTTTAAACCGTTTGTGTGACATCCCCTAATTTCTCGGCCAGAAAAGACCGATTTAATTTATGCTTTTTAAAATAAAATCAGAGAAATCTTTTTAAAAGATGTTGCGGAATTGGTCCCCAAAACAAAACATGATAAAAGTTTATCAAAACCTTCTTTAAGAAATGTATAGTTTCATTTCATATCAAAACCTCGGGATGTCATGTTCCGATACAGATCAAAAGCATAAACAAGACATTATAAGCCTTACAACAGTTATTTACAACTACTGACCTATAATCAAAAAATCTCTCATCGTCCTCCGATTATGCTCGGGGTCCACTACCTGTAACATAAAAAGCTGAGTGGGTCAGGCTTGGGAGCCTGGTGAGCATATAGGGTTTTCAACCCACAATAATAATAAACTTATTAAGTTCACCAATCAACAATAACCCTGATTACCCATTCCCGTTGTCCTCACTTTACGTCCCTAAACACCTATCACAAGGGACCTAGCCTAAGGAATATCATCGGGATGGACACTACTCCTAAGGGGTCTCCTCAGCCATACATGTCCTAAAGGTAACCATGAGGGGGATGGAGTACGACAATGAACATTTAGTTCATCAACACCTACAAGTTGCGAACCTGCTAGTGTGCCACTGGACTGTCTAGAAAGGTCCGTGGTCGTCATCTATACTCCGCTAGACGACTACAACAACAGCAACAACAACAACATCGAGGCCTCTCACCATTTTAACACACATCGACTATTTCGTCTACCCATGTTCTACCCAACATATTTGTAGATAAAAGACATATATAGTTTAAAACTTGTATAAAACATTTGTTCAACAGTCACCTCAAATAAACACTTAATATAATTACACATAGCACGTATTTTATAGAAAATGCTTCATATCTAAGTGTAAGATGAAAGTGACTACACACTCACATGATTTGATGATAATCGGGCAGCAATTCGTTTCCTAAAACGTTCGTTTTTAATAAAACCGGGAGTTTTATTGAGAAACCGGGCTCTGCGAGGGTCGGGTTTCAAAACTGAAAAGATAAATTTTCCGGGTCTTCGGGCACTTCGGGGCGTGTTTCGGGTGTTATAATTGATATCGGGGCTTTGGGGGATGTCAACATGGTAAAAATATTGAAAAAGGGGTGAAAGATGGCAATTTCTTAAAAGTATCCGAGAAGGCTCGCAGCCTTCTATTTATAGGAGGAGGCTGCTGATCGGACGGTTGGAAAGAAGCTACGCGGCAGCAGATCCGAAGGGGGCAGCAAATGGCTCGTACGTGCGAGGGCCTCGCTGCTAATCGTTGATTGGACCGAGGTCTAGTCTGAGGTGGGGTGGGGGGGTTCGTGGCTCCTGCGAAGCTCGGACAGTTGGTGCGACACGCGTTAGTGCGAGGTAAGGCGGCTTCGGATGCGAGGAGTCACCTGGCACGCGTCAGACTCTCGCCTGCACACGCGTCACTCCTCGGATGCTCCACGGCTTCGGATGACTCAGCAAATTTCGGACACGTGGTACGATTTGAGCGAGGGTGAGGTGGCTGAAATTCGAGTAGGTAAAATTATGCTCTACAACTTTCATTTAGACTTCGACGGCTAATTTTGACTTTAATTTTTATATTATTATTTTTAACAGACCGGGACAGGAAATCCGTTAAAAAATTCATAACTTCTTCATCCGACGTCCGTTTTCGTCTGTCTTCTTACCGTTGTGCTACTATTGACGAGACCTTCAATTCTCGTTTAGGTTGTGTCAGCTAAAAATCACTCGATCTAAAATTCGAGTTTTTAGCTGTCTACTGCTAAGCTGAAACTTCGAAAAATCGTAACTTCCTCATACGAAGTCAGATTTGGACGTTCTTTTTATACATACTCTCGGTTTAACGAACACTACGAATTTCGTTTAGATCACTAAGGCTAAAAAGTAGTTTATCAAAAACTCACTTTTTACAACATTCGGCACCGTGCCGGTTTTGTCGTGAAACTTCGACAGGTCATAACTTCTTCGTTATAACTCGGATTTTGGTATTCTTTATATATCCGTAATCCTTGTCACGACCACTACAACTTTCTTAATAGATATCGGCTTTATCTAATATTTATTTTCGACTCTCATTTTTATTCTTAATTCATTAACTCCTAGTAATTAAGCATAAAACACATAAAACACATAATATTCACATAATTCCTTTTTTCATTTCTTCAAAATGAGTTACAAAGTTTAACCTAGACTATCACATCAATATTAATGTCTAGCCTAGAAACACGGGCATTATAGTTTGTTTTAATTTCATTTACATTTCTAACTGTATACAACATATTATACGTTTGAATGACAATTCATTTTTTCAAATCAAACAAAAACATAACAATTTTCATTATTCAAATCAATCAAAGACATGATAATAGAAGGGGTTAATGACTTAAAAAGGTAATTAAGTTTCAATATTATACAAAATACACCATTGAAGTATATCCTGTTTAAAAAAGACCAACCAACTTAACAAATCATTCACATAATACCATCTGAATTGACTTTTCTTTCTTATATTCCATTGTGTAACCGGTTTTACAGATTATGAGGTAAATATGACTGGAAAAAAATCAACGATTAGTATTCATCGTCCTCTCCATATCTTCCTCGCTTCCATTCCAGCTCTAACTAGAGACCTTTGTCAGACCGAAGACCTGCTGTACCTCCCCCTTGCGCACTGCCTTTTTCGAGCCGACAACCAAGCAACCCCTCGCATGCTACTGTTCATCTTCCTCTTCATCTAAAAACCTACAACAAAAATTATAAAAGGAACGAACAAAAAAATGTCGCTGCTCACTGAGAAGTCGGAACCACCTGTTGCTGCTTTGCTTTGCTCCAAGAAACATCACAAAACTAACCCATTTTCCAGCCCCTGTGGGGATGGCTTTTTCCAGCCATATTCAAACCTCAGTAGCCCATAGCCGAGAACCACCAAAACCCATAACCACCTCGTCGGTTCCAGTCGAGACCTGAGAGTCACCCTCAGAACCTCGTCGTTCTCGCACCACCTTTAAACAAATTCACATGCTGCCTTCTTCGTTTCAGTCCAACCGGAGACCTTGAAAATCCACGGGATACTACCTTCGAAAACTCAAACACCATCACCACCTCTTACCTGTTTTACCGGGAATCATCAAGAACCGAAGCTACTGTTCATCTTTTCCAGTCGAAACCTTGAACAAAAAGAAAATACAAGAGAATCCGAATGTCAACTGTTTATTCATCTTCAATCCTACTCTGCTGCTTCTTTCTTCGTCTTTACCGAGAACCCAACACCCGGAACCACCATCGAAAACCACCTCACCACCATCGAACCTACCTACTATCACCACTCGTTTCCGTCGCCACCACTTCGCCGGTTCCAGCCAAGACCCAAGACTTCCTTAGCAGCTCCTTCCCTTCGGTTCCAAACTAACCCATCTTGAAAAAAATGGTATGTGGGGATGGCTTTTCCAGCCATACCCAAGTTTCATTAATTCCATGTAGTATACTAAAAATCCACAATAAGTGTTATTTCTTTTCCCGGTAAACTATACCTCAAAACCGGCAGAACCAGTTAGACAAGGGAACAGAAGAACAAAAAGTCAATTTAGATGGTATTGTGTGAACGAAATCTTAAGTTCAATGGTATTCTATCAACAAGATATACTCAAATGGTGTTTTTTTTAACAAAATTGAAACTTAGTTACCTTTTTAAGTCGTTAACCCATAATAGAATGTCACGTGTTATTCCATTATCTTCTTCATTCCATTCGTTTGTGAATCCATTCAATAACACCAAACAATTTCCTAAGTTTAAAGTCCATGACTTAAAAGATTCAAATTTAGAATACAATTAACATTACCCAAAATACACACTTTGATTGTGAGACCATGATCAAAAGAAACCAACTAAACTATAGAATCTAAATACAAAAACTACAGCTGATTCGAATGTTTCTTGCCATCTTTCAAAGAGAAAAACCAAAGAAGACAATCAACTTTGAATTCATATAGAAACCATGAAATTACTTACTGTTTTATTGAATTATTGTTTCAATTGCATCTGTTTGATCCTCTATTTTGTTGACCTCCTGAATCCAAATCTTCACTGTTTTATCATTTTCAAGAGCACCTGAAGCAATCATATTCTCAATTAGGTGACAAGCAACTACTATTACAGCATCCGTGTGACCTTCAAGTTTATGGATTATTTTTCTTGTTTGAAGTTCCCATAAGTATACACAATTGTCCTCTGAGCCACTCACGATGTATTTGCCGTTTGTGATTGAAAATGCTGATGACATGCAGTATTTTAAGTTTGTGTGGACATTGTAAGTCTTTTAAGAACTTACCAGTTGATAGATCCCATAACCTTTGCATCAAGAAAATCAGAAACAAAATGACATTTTTAGGGAAATTGGTGGGATTCAATGTGAATATAAGGCCAATCAGATTCAAGGGAAAAGATTATCATTGTGAATACTATGAACAAGATGTGAATTACTGATTTCTAGGAAAAGAAATAAGAATTCACTCACCAATGTGCTATCCAGGGTACCTACAAGAAAAAAGTTTCCATTTGGGGAAATTTTGACAAAGCTAACAGGGGGGTTTTCATCATCGATCAGAGTCTTCATACAAGACCCTGTGGATGCATCCCAAATCCTGCACAATCCATCGTAACTACTGGACACGATTAATGTCCGATCTGGATTAAAGTTCACAGCAGTTACGAGATCAAAATGTTCAGGAAGCACCTTCAAGCATTTGTCGGATTTCACGTCCCAAACCCTAACTATCTCATCGAAAGAACCGGAGACAATCATGTTTGATTGAGGGTTGTAATTCACGCAGAAGACGTAGTTTGTGTGTCAACTTAGCGTTTTGACAAGTGAGCCAGTGGATACATCCTAGAAGCGTACGGCCTTGTCATCGGAAGCAGTGGCGAGGTACCGAGCGTTGGATGAGAATGTGACGTCTATGATTAGTCGTTCGTGGCTGACGAATTCTTGGAGAGGGGATGATAAGAACCAGAAAAATTAAGCAGGCAAATGATTCAAACTTTCATAAAAGATAAGCCAAATTCGAGATGGCAAGTCTCCAGTACAAACAAGATAGCAAAAACTGAATAATTGAACAACTAATTCAAAAAACAAAGCCTGCTAAAATATTAGAAACTGATGTTAACTGCTCCTGAAGTGAAGGACCTGAACTGCTCCTCTCCCTTCAGTTTTCTCGATAGTTTGTTGACCCAATGGGTCCAACCAAAATCCAAAAATATTATTAAATTGCTCGTGATTAGTTGCTTTGACCCATTTCTTTTTCCTTGTATATACCTTGAGGTTCTTATCATTACTTCCCCCTTGGTAAAACGACTTGTCCTCAAGGAAAAAATTAGGAAATTGCTCAGCTAATAAATCGTAGGTCTCCCATGTAGCTTCTTCCATAGGTCGTTGGTACCAGGATACCAATAATTCCAACACCGGTTGGCCCGCTTCAAGAACCCAGTGATGATCAACAATAGAAGCAGGTTGGACATCGATTTCCCAGTCCTTTGTTATTGGTAATGGAGCAATCAAATCGGAAGAAAAGGAGCCATGGGCTGGTTTGAGCATAGAGACGTGGAAGATAGGATGAATCTTAGCGTCAGCTGGTAATTCAAGCTCATAAGCAACAGGTCCAACAACGCGTGTGATACGGTAAGGGCCAAAAAATCGTGGGGAAAGTTTTTCATAACGACGTTTGGCTAAACTTTTTTGCCGATAGGGTTGAATTTTGAGAAAGACATGGTCCCCAACCTGGACAGTTACCTCTCTACGTTTAGAATTAGCTTGATTATGCATGCGATCCTGGGCTTTAGTGAGATTGAGGCGAAGGAGTTTTAACATATCGTCACGATCGAGCATCTGTTGTTCCAACTCAGCATTTTTTGTTTCCCCCTTGACATACGGCAAAAGAGATGGAGGGTCCCGTCCGTAAACCACCGAAAAAGGGGTAGTGCCTGTAGAGGTGTGGTATCCTGTGTTATAAGAGTACTTTGCCCATGCTAAATAAGAAATCCATTTGGTTGGTTGTTCATGAGCAAAACAACGTAAGTAGGCTTCAAGGCATCGATTAAGTACTTCAGTTTGACCATCCGTTTGAGGGTGGTAACTAGTACTTAACTGGAGCTTAGTTTGGTTCAAACGAAAGAGTTCTTGCCAAAAAGTGCTTAAAAAATATCTCGGTCTGAAATTATGGAGCGAGGGAAACCATGCAGACGAATGATTTCCTTACAAAAGATGACAACCACACTTTTGGCTGAAAAAGGGTGAGATAAACACACGAATGGGCATATTTACTCAGGCGATCCACCACCACTAAGATTGTATCAAACTTATTGGATATTGGTAAACCAACAATAAAATCCATTGAAATATCCTCCCATATTTGAGTTGGAATTGGTAAAGGTTGGAGAAGACCTGCTGGGGATAATGTCTGGTATTTCTGCTGCTGACAAACCAAACAATGTTGTACAAATACCTGAATTTCCTGCTTTATTTTCGGCCAGTAGAATTGAGTAGATGCGCGTTTAAAAGTTTTTAAAAACCCGCCATGTCCACTAACCGGAAAGTGTGACATTCTTGAAGCAACTTGAGTTTGAGATTGGGTATATCAGGAATGACCATTCTGCCCTTAAAAAATAAAAGCTGGTCATGGAAGGAGAAATCCGGGACCGATGATGGGGAGGATTGAAGTTGTTGGAGTATATCTGCTGTGTAAGCATCTTGTTGAAGTCCTATTTTGATGTCGTTAATTTCCACACAATAAGGAATTGACATAGTCAATAGTTCACCCGAATAGGGTTTTCGAGAAAAAATGTCTGCTCCTTTATTCTCTTTCCCAGCTCTATGAATTATAGAAAAATCATAAGGCATGAGCTTGAGTAAGAGTCGCTGTTGTTCGGTTGTGGTAATGCGTTGCTCCAGTAAGAACTTCAAAGTATAATGGTCTGTACGAATAAGGAAATGACGCCCCAATAAATAATGATTCCATTTCTGAACAGCAAGAACCAAAGCTAAGAATTCCCGATCATAAGCCGATTTAAGCCGGTTAGACAGACAGAATCCTTTACTGAAATAAGCTATATGATGGTTCTCTTGAGATAAGATAGCTCCAATTCCTGATGAAGACGCATCACACTCTACAACAAATGTTTTTGAAAAATTCGGTAATCTAAGAATAGGAGTAGAGAGTAGTGCTTGTTTCAGTGTAGTGAACGCGATAAATGCTTCTTCAGACCAAAGGAACCCATCTTTCTTTGTAAGGGCTGTTAGGGGACGTGCAATCAACCCATAATTCCACACAAATCGTCGATAGTATCCTATAAGACCTAAAAAACCTCTAACTTCTTTAACATTTGAAGGAGTAGGCCATGATTGTACAACTGAGATTTTTTCATGTTCAACTTGTACACCTTTTGTCGTTATTACATGCCCGAGAAAGGAGACTTTAGATTGTCCGAAACAACATTTTGAAAGCTTAGCGAAAAAATGGTGGTCACTTAGCAGCTTCAAGGTTTGTTCAAGATGTGAAAGATGTTGTTTCATGTTGGGGCTATATACTAAGATGTTGTCAAAAAACACAAGTATAAAACGACGTAAATAAGGGCGAAATAAGTCATTAATGACAGATTGGAATGTAGATGGGGCGTTAGTTAAGCCGAATGGCATAACCTTGAATTCATAATGCCCGGAATGAGTTCGAAAAGCTGTTTTTGGTATATCAGAATCGTGGAACCTGATTTGGTAGTAACCGGAGCGTAAATCCAACTTGGAAAACACGGTCGCACCATATAACTCATCCAACAATTCATCGATATTCGGAATTGGGTACTTATCGGCTATGGTTATTTTGTTGAGGGCACGATAATCCACGCACATCCTCCAGGTATTATCTTTTTTCTTGACCAGTAAAATCGGACATGAAAATGGACTGGTGCTTGGTCGAATGAAACCTGCTGCCAATAATTCTTCCACCTGCCTTTCAATTTCAGCCTTTTGAGAATGGGGGTATCGATATGGTCGTATGTTAGGTGGTGAAGAGTTAGGAATTAGAGGAATAGAATGGTTTTGTAAACGGTTTGGAGGAAGTTTCTTGGGGTTCTTCAAAGACCTGGTCATAACGATTTATAATTGGCTGCAATGGGAGTGGGATTTCTGGATTTGTACTCGGCTCAACAGCTAAGTGTTGAAAACTGCCGTACTTTCGGGGTCCTGTTGAAATACCCTGCCACTTATAGCGTTTACCATCTACACTAAAAATCATAAACATTTCCTTCCAATTTGCTTGAACTGTGTTTAATGTTGCCAACCATTGAACTCCTAACACCAAATCCGCTCCACCAATTGAAAAAGGGTAGAAATCTTGAATAACCTTGAGTTCATCGACTTGAAGTGTGAGATTCTTGCAGATATGGCTGCATCTGATAACATCCCCATTCCCTATTTGAACACCAAAAGGTGCCACTGCTTGTGTATTGATTTTCAATTCATTTGCTAAGACGTCTGAAATGAAATTGTGTGTGGAACCCCCATCAACCAACACAAGTACTTCAGTAGAGTGGAGCATACCTTGAACCTTCAATGTTGTGGGCTGAGTTTTACCAAAGATAGCATGTAAACTAATCTTTGCAATTTCGTTCGCATCCTCCTCAATATGGTTAACCTCGTTAACTGATGGCTCATCTAGACCCTCCTCCACTTCCAAAAACCTTGAGAGTACCCGTTTTACACCTGTGACCCGATCCATATTTTTCCCCACACCGGAAACACTTACCCCTGAGATAACGAGATTGTTTTTCAGCATCCGAGATTCGTAGAGGTGTTTTGGAATTGTTGTGAGATGAAGCTGGTGTAAACGTGGAGGTTTTTGGTTCTGGTTGGACGGATCTTGAGGGAGTTGTCAATGTTTGCCCTCTCGTTGGGCGTGTACAGTTGACTTTTGATTCGAATTCCAAGGCGATACTCACAGCTTTAAACACCGTCCTCGGTTTCTGAATTCTCACATCAACTTTCAACTCTTCTTTGAGGCCATTGAGGAACACCCCTAAAAGGCAATGTTCAGGCCAATTAGAAACCCGTGAGGAGCGTTTGGCAAACTCTTGTCGATATTCTTGTACTGTTCCTGTTTGTTTTATATTGCACAAATGTTCGTCCGGGTTTTGGAACTCCGTGGGCCCAAAGTTTTTCTGTAAAGCATGGACTAGTTCCTCCCAACGCTCTATTGTTTGATCTGTTGAAAGGCAAGAATAAAAATCCAGAGCGTCTCCTTCCAAATGCATAGATGCAACATCTACTTTTTCTTCTTCCGGTATATCGTAATAATGAAAGTACTTCTCAGCCTTAAGGATCCAGCCTCGAGGATCTCCATCACTAAAAGTAGGAAAATTCATGAAAAATAGAAATCAGTTTCCAAAATTACTCAAACTTTTTGTATTACTGTTATTAAACATTATTAAGCTGGGAAAAATATAAAAATTGATTTCTAAACAGTTTAACCAAATTTTATGATTTTTGAGCATTTATTCTAATAAAAATTAAAATAAATAGGAAACTGTTTCCAAAATTGCCCAAAATTTTTGTAACACTTTTATTATACATGTAGAAGCTGTGAAAAATATAAAAGATATTTTTCAGTTAGTGTTGCTATTTTTCCTTGTTTAATCCTCTTAAATAATCATTAATTGAATAATAATTATTAAACAGTTAAAGTAAATTACCAAAAATTTTGTACACTTCATTTACAGAGTAAATAATCTGGGAAAAATACCAAATGTGATTTTTAT